TTGGAGTTTCAGCTTCAGCATCAGTCCTTCCAATGAACACCCAGGACTGATTTCCTTTAGGATGGACTGGTTGGATCTCCTTGCAGTCCAAGGGACTCTCAAGAGTCCTCTCCAACACCACAGTTCAAAAGCATCAATTCTTTGGTGATCAGCTTTCCTTACAGTCCAACTCTCACATCCATACATGAATAGTGGAAAAACCATAGCCTTGACTAAATGGACTTTTGTTGGCAAAGTAATGTCTCTGCTTTTTAATATGCTGTCTAGGTTGGTCATAACTTTCCTTCCAAGGAATAAGCGTCTTTTTATTTCATGGTTGCTGTCACCATCTGCAGTGATATTGGAGCCCCCCCAAAATAAAGTCTTCCACTATTTCCAGTGTTTCTCCATCTATTTGCCATGCAGGGATGGGACTGGATGCCATGATCTTTGTTTTCTGAATGTTGAGTCTTAAGCTAACTTTTTCACTCTTCTAGTTCACTTTCATCAAGAGCCTCTTTAGTTCTTCACTTTCTGCCATAAGAGTGGTGTCATCTGCATATCTGAGGTTACTGTTATTTCTCCCAGCAATCTTGATTCCAGCTTGTGCTGCATCCAGCCAAGCGTTTCTCATGATGTACTCTGCATATAAGTTAAACAAGCAGGGTGATAATATACAGCCTTGACGAACTCCATTTCCTTTTTGGAACCAGTCTGTTGTTCTATGTCCAGTTCTAACTGCTGCTTCTGGACTTGCATACAGATTTCTCAAGAGGCAGGTCAGGTGCTCTGGTATCCCCATCTTTTTCAGAATTTTCCTGTTTGTTGCGATCCTCACAGTCAACGCCTTTGGCATAGTCAATAAAGCAGAAATAGATGTTTGGGACTCTCTAGCTTTTTCAATGATCCAGCGTATGTTGGCAATTTGGTCTCTGGTTATGCTGCCTTATCTAAAACCAGCCTGAACATCTAGAAGTTAACAATTCACGTATTATTGAGGCCTGGCTTGGAGAAGTTTTATCATTACTTTGCTAGTATGTGAGATGAGTGCAATTGTGCGGTAATTCTTTGGCATTGCCTTTCTTAGGCATTGGAATGAAAACTGACCATTTCCAGTCCTGTGGCTACTGCTGAGTTTTCCAAATTTGCTCGCATATTGAGTGCAGCACTTTCACAACATCATCTTTTAGGATTTGAAATAGTTCAACTGGAATTCCATCACCAAGGTCAGGAGCTAACCCTAGGGAGTATCAAATAGTGATAACTCACACAAAGGAATCCACTTGAATACAAGACCAGGATCACCCAATCACCAGTAGCACCCTGTGTAGGACACCTCATCCAAAAAACAAACAAAACAAAACAAAAAATCCCAATCATCAGCTATCAGGATTACCACCTCATTCAGTCTTGTCCATCAGAGAAAAAACAAACAAATAAGCAAAAACTCAGCACAAATCACACCCTATAACAAAGTACCTGTGGTATCTCTGTTCCTTGACAGAAATCCACCCTGAATCTTTGGAGTGGGAGCACTGACTCCAAGACCCTAGACAATCAGAACTTCTAACCCTAGGGAGTATCAAATAGTGAGAACTCACACAAAGGAGTCCACTTGAATACAAGTCCTGGCATCACCAAACCACCAGTTGCACCCAGTGTAGGCCACCTCATTCAAACAACAGACAAGACAAAAATACAAACCAAATCATCACAGCACCTCACTCAGCCCTGCACATTAGAAGAAAAAAAGAAACTTAGCACAAATCTCACCTAATGCAAAGCTTACACAAACCACTGGACCAACCTTAGGAGGGCAGAAACTAAAAGGAAGAAGGAATTCAACCTTGAAGCCTGGTAAAAGGAAACCTCAGACACAAAAAGTTAAAAAAAATAATGAAAAGGCAGATAAATACTACATAAATGAGGGAACAAGCTAGAAACACAGAAGTCCAAAAAATTAAGAGGAAATAGGCAAACTACTTGAAAAAGAATTCAGAATAACGATCGTAAAGATGATCAAAAACCTTGAAACAAAAAGGAGAAAATGCAACAATCAATGAACAAAGACATGGACGAATTAAAGAATAAACATACAGAGACAAACAACAGAATTACTGAAATAAAAATACTCTAGAAGGAACCAATAGTAGAATATCTGAAGCAGAAGAACGAATCAGTGAGCTGGAAGATAAAATGGTGTATATAACTGCTGAAGAGCAGAATAAAGTAAAAAGAATGAAAAGAATGGAAGATAGATAGTCTCAAAGACCTCAGGGACAATATCAAACACACCTACATTTGAATTATTTGGGTCTCAGAAGAAGAAGAGAAGAATAAAGGATAAGAGAAAATTTTTGAAGAGATTATAGTTGAATATTTCCCCAACATGGAAAAGGAAATAGTCAAGTCCAAGAGGCACAAAGAGCCCCATACAGGATAAACCCAAGGAGAAACATGGCAGGACAAATACTAATCAAACTAACAAAGACTAAACACAAAGAAAGAATATTAAATGCAGCATGGGAGAGGCAAAAGTAACATACAAGGAAACCCCATGTGCTTAATAGCTGTTCTTTCAGCAGAAACTCTGCAGGCCAGTAGGGAATGGTAGAATATATTTAAAGTCCTGAAAGGGAAAAATCTACAACCAAGATTACTGTACCCGGCAAGGATCTCATTCAAAATTGATGGAGAAATCAAAAGCTGTTCAGACAAGCAAGTGAAACTGAAGTCGCTCAGTTGTGTCCGACTCTTTGCGACCCCACGGACTATAGCCTACCAGGCTTCTCCATCCATGGGATTTTCTAGGCAAGGGTGTTGGAGTGGGTTGCTGACAATTCAGTACCACCACAGCAGCTTTACAACAAATGTTAAAGGGACTTATATAGTCAAGAAATACAAGAGAAGAAAAAAGATCCACAAAATCAGCACCAATCAATTAAGAAAATGAGAATACGAACATATATATCCATAACTACCTTAAATGTAAATGGATTACATGCTCCGACCAAGAGACACAGACTGGCTGAATGGATACAAAAACAAGACCCATGTATATGTTGTCTACAAGAAACCCACTTCAGACCTAAAGATACATACAGACTGAAAGTGAGAGGATGGAAAAATATATTCAATGCAAATGGGAAGCAAAAGAAAGCTGGAGTAGCAATCTTCATATCAGACAAAATAGACCTTAAACTAACGAAGATTACAAGAGATAAGGAAGGACACTACATAATGATGAAAAAGGGAAAAAGAACAAAAAACATTGAAGCAAACAGTCTCTAAACAGTGGGTCTAATTACTAGGTATTCTTAAAAGTAGAGGCTTAAAGATAAGTAAACAAAGCAAGAATTACATATCAAAACCAAGTCCTATGTTCACATTCAAATAGGAGAAAAGATGATTTTATAAAAAAAAAAACTGGCACACCCTCATCTTTTTATCTCCCCCTCCCTGGAATTCAGAATTTTGAGTCAATGTTAAACTGAGATCATGGGTGATTTTCTTCTTTCATTGTATTTTTCTGGCAAATTTACATTTTCTGTTATGAGCATGTACTAATTTTTAATAGTTATGCAGTATCTTTCTCAAAGTAAGGATACATCTGGATTTTCTAAATTACATTCATAAACATTCTCTTTCACCATGAGAGGGCAGCAAAAGTAGAGTAAATATTTATTCATACCCTCATTTACAAATGAGAGGATACATCTGGATTTTATAAATAACATTCATAAGTATTCTTCTATTTCTCCACGAGAGAGCAGCAAAAGCACAATAAATGTTTATTCATACCCAAATATACTCTGAAGAGTCCCTTGGACTGCAAGGAGGTCAAACCAGTCAATCCTAAAAGAAATCATTCCTAAATATACATTGAAAGGACTGATGCTGAAGCTGAAACTCCAATACTTTGGCCATTGTGACCCCATAAACCTCAGCACGCCAGGCCTAAAGAAGACATACAGATGGCTAAAAAAACACATGAAAAGATGTGTAAGATAACAGGATTAGCCAGAAGGTTTTCAGGAAGAAGAAACTGTCCTCAAGCAGGATACATTGTTGTAACATAATCCCTAGGTCAGAGTTGTTTATTGTGTATCATCAGTTCCAGGCTTAAAGAAAAAAAAAAAAAAACGTTTTATGTGTCAAAGACTAAGGAATGCACAGGAAAAAAAACATGTGTCCTTTCTTCCTCCTTTAGAACTCCAGATCCATATTTGCACTTCAAGAGCCCCAGAACCCTTTCTCCTCTTTGGGGAACCCAGACTTCTTATCAAGTTGCTTACAAACTGACACTCTCACCACCAAGTGTATGCCTCCTCCCTAACTGATCATCAACCTGCTCACCCACCCACCAGCCAAGCACAGCTCAGCTCTTTCACTTAGGAACACACAGATTGGTCCCACCCTAGCTCCATCCATGCCAGGTGAGCAGGCAGACCACTCCAACTCCATAGATTCCAGGTCAGGACAAAGAACACCAATCTGCATCCATGCCATTCAGTACACAGACCACCCCAGCTTCATCCATGCCAGGTCAGTACACAGAACACCCACCTCTATCTATGCCAGGAGAACACACAGACCACCCCACCTATATCCATGTCAGGTCACCACTCAGATCACTCCAACTCCATCCATGCCAGGTCAGGACACAAACCACCCCAGCATCATCCATGCCAGGTCAGCTCACAGACTACAACACGTCCATCCATGCCAGGTGAGCACAGAGACCACTCCAGCTCCACCCTTTTCAGGTCAACACTCAGACCACCCCACATCAATCTATGCCAGGTCAGCACACAGACAACCGCACCTCCATCCATGTCAGGGAAGCACACAGACAACCCAACTTCCATCTATGCTAAGTCAGCACACAGACCTCCCCATCTCCATAGACGCCAGGTAAGGACACAGCCACTAACCTCCATCCATGCCAAGTCAGCACACAGACCAATCCACCTGTATGCATGCAAGGTCAGCACATGGACCACCCTACACCCATCCATGCCATGTCACACACACACCACACAGCTCCATCCATGCCAGGTCAGCACACAGACCACCCCACCTCCATCCATGCTAGGTCAGGACACAGACCACCCCACCTCCACAGATACCAGGTCAGCACACAGACCACAACAGTTCCAAGCATGCCAGATCAGCATGCAGACCATCCCATGTCCGTCCAGCAAGGTCAGCTCACAGACCACCACATCACTGTCCCTCAGACTGATAAGGATAAGAGGCTTATGGAAGCTTCTTCATGGGAGAGACTGACTGTAAGGGAAACAGGGTGTTGTTCTGATAGGTGGAGCCATGCTTAGTAAATCTTTAATCCAAAGTGACAAAATGGTGGAGTAGAAGGACATGTACTCAACTTCTCCTTTGAGAACTCCAAAATACAACTCGCTGCTGAACAACCATCAAAAGGAGAATGTTGGATCCCACCAAAAAAAGATACCCAACGTCCAAGGGCAAAGGAGATTCCTCAACAAGATGGTAGGAGGGGTAAACTCTCATTTAGAATCAAACCCTATGCTGGCCAGAGACACTTGGAGGGCTCAAACAAAACCTTGTGTGCACTAGGACCCAGAGGCCCCACAGAGACTGACCAGACCTGCCTTTGAGTGTTTGAGCATCTCCTGTGGAGGTGTGGGTCAGCACTGGCCTGCTGCAGGGGCCGGGGCTCTAGCTGCAGGTGATTTGGATGTGGCATAAGCCTTCTTGGAGGAGGTCGCCATTAATTCCACCATAGAGACACCGAGCAGATGACCCAAAAACTGCAGAACAATTATACCAAAGAAATTCTTGCACTGTTAAGAAAGTTCTAGGACCCACAACAGATTTTCCAACATGGGGATCTGGCAAAGGGACTGAGAAGTCCCAGGGAATTAGACTTTGGAGGCCAGTAAGGTTTGATTACAGAACTTCCAGAGCACTGGGGAAACAGACTCTTGGAGGGCACAAACAGAACCTTGTGTGCACCAGGACCCAGGAGAAAGGAGCAGTGTCTCCAAAAGAGACTGACCCAGACTTGCCTGTGAGTGTCCAGGAGTCTCTGGTGGAGGCGTGGGTTGGTGATGGCCTGCTGCAGGATCAGGGGCACTGAGTTCTGCAGTGCGTGCATGGGATCTTTTGAAGGAGGTCGCCATTGTCTTCATTACCTCCACCATACTCTGGTCTCAAGTCAAACAACAGGGAGAGACATAGCCCCATGCATCAACAGAAAGCCATGTTGATGGGCATTCAATATTCAAAAGGTCCAAAAGTTTCTAAGTAAACAACAACTGATCTCCTGGAGTCTCCTGGGGGGGGGGCATCAAAAAAGAATTCATAACTGGGTAGACTGCCACAAAGCCAATTTTAACAGGTTCCTTTAACTCACACATTAAAAAATATTTACGTGAAAAGATGTCAACATTTCTAAATATAGGGAAGGCTGTTCAGTCTCACCTCACACCACCAATCAGAATGGTGACTGTCAAGCATTCCACAAAGATTAAATCCACCAGATGCCATGAAGAAAAGGGATCCCTCCACCTCTGTTGCTGTAAATGAAAATAGGTGAAAGCCACTATGGAGGACAGCGTGGACATGCATCAACAATGAAAGTGAGAATGAAATTAGAATATCCCTCAAACCATACACAAAAATAAACTTCAAAGAAGATAAAGATATAAGTGTAGGATGCTGCTGCTGCTGCTAAGTTGCTTCAGTCGTGTCCGCCTCTGTGCGACCCCATAGATGGCAGCCCACCAGGCTCCGCCGTCCCTGGGATTCTCCAGGCAAGAACACTGGAGTGGGTTGCCACTTCCTTCTCCAATGCATGAAAGTGCAAAGTGAAGGTGAAGTTGCTCAGTCATGTCTGACTCTTCGTGACCCCATGGACTGCAGCCTACCAGGCTCCTCTGTCCATAGGATTTTCCAGGCAAGAATACTGGAGTGGGTTGCCATTGCCTTCTCCAAATGTAGGATGGATACTATGCAAATTTGAGGACAATATGGGGGGGGGGGGACAGGCTGTAACATCAATTCCACCAAGTGTGCCCAGAATAATGAAAAATAAACAAAAACTAAGAAAACAGGACTGAATTAACCTTAAAAGCATTTGCACAGCAAATGAAACCCTAACTGAAAGAGAAATACAGTCCTCAGAATGGGAAAAAATATTTGCAAACAAAGACATCCATAAGGAATAAAGAAGATGGGGTACATAGACACGATGAACCGTCACTTAGCCACAACAATCAGGAAAGAATGCCATGGGCACCCTCAGGGAAGAAAGTTGACATGATCATAGCAAGTGAGGTGAGGGGGACAGGGAGGGATATTAGCATAAGACATCACTTGTAGCTGGGATCTAACAATGGATACAGATGATCTTCTTTAAAAAGAGAAACAGTCTCACAGACTCAGAAAAGAATCAGTGGTCCCCAGGAAGAAAAAACAAAACTGTGCGACAGGGAGTAATGAACTAATTCAGTCTAACATAGGGAGGCTAATATCATTAAAAAAGTATCCACCAGAAACCACTGTGTAACACAGGAATCTCTGTAACATCCTATATTGGAAAAGAAACTGGAAGAGAAGATATACACATCTATGTACAAGTGAATCAAGTTGCTGTTGGTCCAAAAGGAAAAAAAAAATCCCCAAACCTTGTCATTCAACTACATATGCCAATTCAAATTAGGGAATAAAAGTACAAAAAAGGAATCAGAAAGGCTGACTCTACTGCCCTCAGGCCATGGTGACCCAGATGGTGTCACATCCCTGGAGCCTGAGCTGGTTTCAGTCCCAAGCCTGGAGGGTCTCAATGCAGACAAAGCTGGGAGCATGTGGCAGGAAACGTGACCCCAGAATGGACCTGGGGTGCCTCCTTCCCTCTGCATGAGCACCCAATCTCCAGATGCAGGTGGAACCTCCTGCAGAGAAACCAGGCCTACATCACCCAAGAATTGGTGGAGCCTCTGGGCTGGAACAAGCTTACAAGGTCCCCTGGCCAGTCTATGTCCCCTAGTCTTGGGTTCCTACCTCCAGCCTCTGTCCTTAGGGTCACCCCACCTACAGATGACAGCACCCTCTGCAGAGCGTGTTCCAAAAAACTGGAATGTGTCCTGGGGACACTGGGTTAGGGGGAAAGAGAAGAGACTCAAGACTTGGGTGTTTCTTCTGGCACATTCCACACTAGCTGACAATACCATGAAACAGAGTTTTCCATGAGACTCAATGCCTGAGGACCACAGTGGGGCAGGAAGCAATGCTCTTTCCTTAGGGCCATCTTCTAGAACAACAACTTTAAACCTAGTGCTGTTGGGCTCTTCATATTCACAAGGCCTATGGGACTGTAAAAGACCCCTCCTGTCCAGTCATGTCCTGGGGTAAATCATCAGACAGGAATTCAAACAGGGCCACCATTCAAGAAGACAATTTCAAGAGGTAAACTCTACTCACACTGTACAATATCAAAAAGCACGAGGAAAATTCCTCCAGCTCACTATGTATCCAGCTCAGTTGCTCCGTTGTGTCCTACTCTTTGCAATCCCATGGACTGCAGCACAGCACTATGTACTGAATCCATGCAAATCAAAACCCCCATGAAAAATCCCCTCCCACAGGTCAGAGTGGCCACCGTCTAAAACATCTACAGAGAATACGGGCTGCAGAGGAGGGAGGCAAAAGGGAATTCTCCTACACTCTTGGTGGGGGTGTAAATGGGTGCAGGAACTATCAAAAACAGCAAGGAGGTTCCTTATCAGATAAACTTCCGGAAACCACATGGCCCGACAATCCCATGTCTGGGATCAGACCCAGAAAAAAATCACAAATCAAAGTGACCCATGCACCCTTGTTTTCAGGGCAGCTTGACTGACAATGGCCAAACTAGAATGGTTGCTGGCCAAAAACTTGGCTTTCTCTGCCCAGTGAAGCCAAATAAAAAATACAGAGACAAGAGTTTGAAGGAAATACAAAGATGGCTTTTATTCTCAAGCCAGCGGAGAGGGGAATACAGTAGGGTCATGCCTCAAGGACTGTGCCCCCCACCCCGCCCATGAAGAGTCTAGGGGCTTATATAAGGCAAGGGCTCACAGTCAGGTGTCAGTGATGAGGAACAAGGGGATAGGATCTAGATTTCTTCCTCATGCATTTCTTTCAGAACAGTCATAGACTGAAGTCAGTAACCCAGGAACTGACTGGCGGCTGGGGCGGCTCTGCTGCCTTCCTTCTGACATGTAAGTACAAGGGGAAAGGTGTTGTAAGGGTAAACACCAGATAGGGCATGTATTTAGCATAGGGTAGAAGGAAACAATGTTAACCATAGATCCTGCAGAGTTAGGGGGCAGAAAAGCAAACTTAGTCACAGACATTCAGAGTTATGAGCAGTTAAAGCAAAGCAAACAAACAAACAACTAGGAATGTTCAGGCCTGCTCACTGTTCTCTTTATCCCCTTTGCTCTCAAAAAAGGGAAAGAATAAAAAGTCCATTTCTCTTTTTTTTCCTTTGCATACATTCTCAGGTGCTTCAGTCATGTCCAACAGTTTGTGACCCCATGGACTGTAGCCCACCAGGCTCCTCTGTCCATGGGATTCTCCAGGCAAGAAGACTGGAGTGGGTTGCCTTTCTCTTCTCCAGGGGATCTTCCCCACTCAGGGATTGAACCCACATCTCTTGCATTGGCATGCGGATTCTTTATTGGCTGAGCTACCAGGGAAGCCCTTTTTTCCTTCTCCCTGCAACAAATTCAACCAAGTTATCCACTGACAGGAAAATGAAGACGGAATGGTGCACCTCTACACTGCAGTGCTACCCAGCTCTGAATCAGAATGGAATAACACCAGTAACAACAGTGTGCATGGATAAAGTGGTTACCATACTAAGTAGAGGAAGGCCGAGAGAGAAAGACGAATATCACAAGGTATCACTGACAGGTATCTTCTTGAAATTAATGCAAATGTAGGATATTACACAGAATAAACAGACTCACAAACTTAGAAAACTAACTTCTGATTATTTTAAAAAAAGAGTTAGGGATGTGAGATAAATGAGTTTGCAAGGAACAAACAGACATTAATACACATCAAACAGAGAATCAGGGAAAAAACTGTTGAACAGCAAAGGGCAGCATACTGGAGACACTGTAATCCTCTGGAGAAAAATGAAAGTGAAGTCGCTCAGTCGTGTCCAACTCTTTGCGGCCCCATGAACTGGGGCCTACCA